ACAGTTTAAGGTGCTTTTTAAATGTGTAAAAAGTGGGACGTTCCCTGGTGTTTTTTGGGAGGCTGTTCCAGAAGTGACCCCCTCTTTGTAAATTAAACAACTAAAAGATGGCTCTCCATGTTTTAATGCCAGGCTATGAAGTCAGTGTGAGTCCAGGGAAGCAGGTTTTCCATTCACCGGCTTTGTGTGTGTGTGTGTGTGTGTGTGTGTGTGTGTGTGTTTGGGTTTAAATCAAACACCTCTTTCTAAACCAGACAGCCGAAAACCACCAAGAACCACCACAGATACTAACTCAGATGGATGACAAACCAAACGTTTGGCCCAGACTTTAGCAGAGAAAACACATTAAGCTGAAGATTTACGTCCTCTTTGATCGTAAAACGGTTGGCAAAGAAACAGAAACCTGCTCGGTAGTTTCCTTTGAAAACCCACATGCAGTTTTTTTCTTTAGGGGTGTTGCGTAATACCCTGTAATTAGCTTATTTGGAACAAGTGAAGTGGAGTTGGAGGAGCTCCAGGTTTCAGCTCCTGTACTGATGAATTGATGACATAATGGAGATCGTTGTGTGTGTGTGTGTGTGTGTGTGTGTGTGTGTGTGTGCGTATGTGTGTGTGTGTGTGTTTGCCTTTGCCAGGCATCTGTGCCGGAGGTGAAAAAGGCCAGAGGAGACGTTCCAGATATTTTTCCGGAATCCGAGCCGACCAGCCAGACGTCGGACTTTGAGAACTCTTACAACTACGTCTGTAAGCCACCTCACGTACATTTGTCACGTTGTTCAGCCATTGTTTTGACAGGTTTTTCTATTACTTCGACGTGATGTTGGAAATTTACATCGAATTTCACTTCGTATGTTGGAAAATTCATATGTTTAGACCAGTGTTTTTCAACCACTGTGCCTCGGTACACTAGTGTGCCGTAGAAAATCATCCTATTTCACCTAATTGGTCTAAAAATACTTTTTGATAAGGAATTAATTATCTGCAAATAATATGCCATTTTTGAGTGTCTGTGCTGTACTAGTGACTGGTGGAGTAATCATGTAACGACTAGACTAGATATTGTATATAATTTTGTATATTGAAGTGGACATGTTAAGAGCAATTTGAAAGAAGAAATATAAAATATGATAAAAATAAATTTTTGTGTTTATTTGATTCCTATTCAAGATACTTAAGATAAGATAAGAATAAAATAAGAATAACTATAGTGTTACTATAGGCGGCTACAGATTTGTTTGACATTTTTGGTTGGTGGTGTGCCTCGAGATTTTTTCAATGAAAAAAGTTACCTTGGCTGTCACTATAACAGCACAAACACTCAGAAATGTCATATTATTTGCAGATAATTAATTCCTTATCAAAAAATCTTTTTAGACCAATTAGGTGAAATAGGATGGTTTTCTAAGGCACACTAGCGTACCGAGGCACAGTGGTTGAAAAACACTGATTTAGATCATTTTCAAATGTTCTGAATAAAAAGGGCTGGATGAGTTTTCCCCCGGTTCTGTGAACGTTCAGATTCCCGTCTCCAGCTCCGGTTCAGCTCTCTCTTGTCACAAAATAGTCTTGTGTAATTACATAGTCATATTCCCATTAATAATTAAGTTATTTTCCATTCAAGTCATTGAATCAAGTCTCTCCGTCTCAGTGTCCAGGCTGGACTTTCGGGGAATTTTTCAGAGAAATAACGTAACTTAAAATACAATGCAAACCTGATTATTCGTCAAACTTCGTATGGAATCACAAGGCCACAGAAAATACTCAGCATCAAGAAAAGGACTGAAATCATCTAAAAATGTAGTCGTTTTCAGTAATTTTTTATCTTTAAAATGTGGCTGACTGAGCTAAAGTAGCTTGTTTTTGCTTTAATGATTCAGGGGCTGTGCTGCATCACACAATAAACACAAAAACAACCACAAAAAATGTAGAAAATGGTCAAATAGCCAGAAACAAACTTCAGAAGGAGAAGAGAAGCTTTGATTTAGATCATTTTCAAATGTTCTGAACAAAGAGGTCTGGATGAAGTTTTCCTCGGTTTGGTGAACGTTCCCCCCCCCCCCCCCCCTCTCTCCGTTTCAGTGTCCAGGCTGGCCGGCCTGGACCAGGCCATCCACAAGCTGAGCGTGGGCCATTATACTCTGGACGTTAAAGTCAGCCAACTGATGGATCGCCTCTCAAAGATGGACGGTAAGATCCTCTGATCCGTGATAGCAAAGCGTTGTGTTGCTTCCTTGTATATTTGTTTGTTTTTGCTGTACTTTATGCACCTTTTCCTCCTTTTGAACTCTAACCGATGTGTGACCAGTGAATTTCTCCACTGTGAGATCAATAAAGCTCTTATCTTATCTTATCTTTTCCACCCGACCGAACACCCTCTAGAGCAGTGTTTTTCAACCTTTTTTGAGCCAAGGTACAGTTTTTCATTGAAAAAATCTCGAGGCACACCACCAACCAAAAATGACAAACAAATCTGTAGCCGCCTATAGTAACACTATAGTTATTCTTATTTTATTCTTATCTTATCTTTAGTGTCATGAATAGGAATCAAATAAACACAAAAATGTATTTTTATCATATTTTATGTTTCTTCTTTCAAACTGCACTTAACATGTCCACTTCAATATACAAAATTATATACAAAATCTAGTCATAAGGAATCATTACATGATTACGCCACCAGTCACTAGAACAGCACAGACACTCAAAAATTATTTGCAGATAATTAATTCCCTATCAAAAAGTCTTTTTAGACCAATTAGGTGAAATAGGATGATTTTCTACGTCACACCTGACCATCACTAACGGCACACTAGTGTACCGAGGCACAGTGGTTGAAAAACACTGGTCTATTCCATCTCCTCTCTCATGTTCCAGCCAAGGTGGGCGAGCTGGAGGACAACATCCGGGAGGTCCACCAGCACAGCAAGGACAACCGCAAGGAGGTCGGACGACTGGAAGGTAAAAAAACTGTTTTTAAAAGGGGACATATTACGCAAAACCGAGTTTTTAATCATTTGATTATGTACATTTGGGACTGTGGAGGGCCTATCAGCAGGAAAAGGGTGAAAAAAAATGACTCTGATAACAACTTAATGGTTAGGACACAGACCTGTGGGTTACAGATGCTAATGCTAATGCTAATGCTAATGTGGGATCGGACTTTTAAAAAAAAGGATGTGGATTCTGGATCTTCATTTTCCCCTGTTGACCGATACGCAGTTTTTTTTGCAAATATCGGTCCAGATATCGGATCGGGACCAGGCTAGTCCAGTATTTCCCAAACCTGGTCATTAAACGTCCAGCTCAGTTTATTTAAAGGGGACATGTTATGCAAAACCAAGTTTTCAATCATTTGATTATGTACATTTGGGACTGTGGAGGGCCTATCAGCAGGCAAAGTGTGAAAAAAAATGACTCAGTCATGTTTTTGTGGGCCGCCTCAGTCTGAATCCAGGAGATAAATCAGGAGGTTTCAGGAGTGGGTAGTTTCTGACGTCATTAGCTCTAGCTCATTATAATATTCCAGCCTTTCACCTGCATGTTGCCCCCCCCC